TTTTGCATGTCAGTCCATTTTTCCGTCTGTCCATGTATTTTTGTAAACAAAGTACAGGTCGCATTTTATGTCTGATTGAAATGAATTTTGTCACAAATCATTTTTTTAGCCCAATGCCGAACCCTAGTAAAATTGGTGATAATCGGATCCGCTTTGGATATAGCTCCCATTATAGTGTCGTTCGATTTCAGCTTTATTGTGCGCCAAATGCGTAATATCTGTGCAAATCAAACTAATTTAAGCACAGACGGCCAATTTCAATCCAGATGTATGTCTGGAAATTTTGGTGAACATCGGTTCATATTTATATATATCTCCCATATATATTCAAATTTTATCCAATTTCGATTTTATTTGGCGGCATGGGTGCAATATTCCTCCTCCTAGGATGGATATTGGCACATCCGATCGAATTTATACTAGAAGCAAGTTCTTCAAATTTAGTGAAAATCGGTTCGGTGTCTATAACTCACATATATATGTTTCTTCCGATTTGGGAATTAAGCCGCTCACATTCGTAATATGCACTCCCCAAGAGTACAAAAGCATTTTGTTGAAAATTTTCCAGAAAAAAAGTTATTCGTGATGGAATTCAAGCATGATAGTGTTATTTCTTTATATTTAGCTGGAAAACAACAAGTGGATATCGTTAGAACACTCACACATTTAAATGTGAATAAATCTTTTGTGTCTCGTACCATCGCTCGTTACAGTGATACTGGTAGCCTCACGTCAAGGAAGTGAACGGAAGATAACAGCAACATTAGCAAAAATGGTTCGAAAAGTAAAGAAGCGACTTGATCGAAACCCGCATCGCAGTGCCCGAAGCTGAACATATCACAATATTTCATTCGGCAAATATTGAAAAATGAGCTCGGGTAAAGCCATTGAAATTCCAAAAAGTGCAAGAACTTACACCGCAACCGAAAGAAAATAGACTCAAAAGAGCTAAAGAGTTGCTTCGCTTGGCAGAAAGTGGTGAACTGCCGAAGTTGGTTTTCTCCGATGAGAAAACATTCGTTGTCCAACAGTTGGTAAACAAACAAAATGATCGTGTTACTTGCCAAAGAGGTCAGCTGAAAATGTGCACCTTCGGTTGACCACCAGAACTCAAGCGCCGGCCATGGTGATGGTGTAGGCCGCCATAACAGCCGATGGTCGCTCTCCGCTCGTATTCATCGACCGTGGCATCAAAATACATACCAAATATTATCGCGAAAATATTCTGGAGGGTGTATTAAAGTCTTGGGCATGCAAACATTTTGGCCGAAGACCTTGGACATTCCAACAGGACTCAGCACCATCGCACTCAGCACCCGCCACCCAAGAATGGTTACAAAATGAGGTTCCTCGCTTCATTTCCAGTGCACAATGGCCACCAAGATATCCGGATACCAATCCGTTGGACTATTGTGTCTGTAGTATTTTGGAAAACAAGGTTGACACTAAAAAATACCAAAGTGTCGATCACCTCAAGCAAGCGCTTCGCCGGCAATGGGTCAAAATACCGCAGAGCAACATTCGGGCAGCGTGTGACGGTTTCATTGGCCGTTTGAAGGCCATAATTTGTGCCAAAGGTGACCAATTCGAACAAATCTAGACTTATTCTAAAATTTGATGCTATTTCCGACATTTTTTGCATTCATTCAATAAAATTTTAAAAGAAACTGTAAAAATTATGGCGTTTGACTTTTATCTCACCCTGTACTTGAACTTTGGAACTCGTTATTGGTACTATTTCCTATTACAGATCATATCCTGTACAGATTCATGCCTTCGTATAGCCCTTATATAACGGTACCTCCGAATATTCGGTATTTTGCTAATTTTAGCTATAATACTTTATAAGTAAATATGTATCGATCTAGTTTCCTTTTGAAAGTTGGAACCAAATGAAGCGTGTGCGCTTCCTCTTTGTTATGTAAATTCTTTTTAGAAAGAGATTTAACCGTTCTGCAAATAGAATATTGTTTATTCAATATTCAACTTCGAGAGCCTTTGAAAAATAATTTGTAGGAAATGATAGAAAAAATTGCTACGTAACGAATTTACAAATATAAGGGTTTCCCAGAAATGTACACATTTAACTTACATACTTTTCCGCTTCCTGTTACTAAACTTACAGTTTATTTGTAGAAATTTTCCTCTAACGATAACTACAAATCTAGGTATTCTATTGAACTTGCACCTTGACATGTGTGTATTTAAATACAGATATCACAGGTGTCATGCTCAAGTGTTTCATTCACATTTTATCTGTTCTAATGTGAAACTCATTTCACATTTTACATCTCCAATTCCTTGGAGATGACTTAAATATTTGTTGTCTACATTTGAAATTTTGAATTGTTAAGGATAGTATATGAAATGCTCATAGACAATTTTGATAAAACATTCATGCGAAACTGCACACACAAATATCACTTCGGCCGGGCTGAACTTTTTATACCCTCCATCATTTGGAAGAAACTTGGAAGAAATGTAAAAAACCGCTTAAAAATGGCACTATAAATTTAAAAATTCCGAATATCAGTTCGTATCGGTTATATGGGGCTATATGAAATCGCGGACCTTTTAAGCCAATTTCTGCCTGAGAAGGAAAATACCGAAAAATGGGAGGTACCGTTATATGGGCCCTGTACGTAGACATGAATTTGTATCGGCACTTTTCTCACGTAGAAAGCAATGTCCACTGCGAACTCCAAATTCTAAAATTGAAATAGTTCTGGTGAAAGGTAGTTATATGGTGCCTACACGGCTAACTTAGACCTACATAAACAGGGTGAGATGCAAAAACTGCAACAAAGCCAAATGCCATAATTTTTACTTTTTTTTATTTTATTGAATGGAAGCAAAAAAATGTCGAAAACAGAATCAAATTTTAGAATAATTTTAGATTTGTTCGAATTGATCACCAATCAATTGGCCAATGGAACGGTCACAAGCTGCCCGAATGTTGCTCTACGGTATTTTAGTCCATTCCCGTTGAAGCGCTTGCTTGAGCTGATCGACACTTTGGTATTTTTTAGTGCCAACCTTGCTTTCCAAAATACTACAGACACAATAGTCCAACGGAATGGCATCCGGAGATTTTGGTGACCATTGCGCGCGAGAAATGAAGCGAGGAACCTCGTTTTGTAACCATTCTTAGGTGGCGCGTGCTAAGTGCGATGGTGCTGGGTCCTATTGGAATGTCCAAGGTCTGCGGCCAAAATTTTTGCGTGCCCGAGGCTTTAATAATATTTCATAATATTTTCGCGATATTTCGCGGCATTTATTCTGATGCCACGGTCGATTAATACGAGCGGAGAGCGACCATCTGCTGTTATGGCGGCCCACACCATCACCATGGCCGGCGCTTGAGTTCTGATGGCCAACCGAAGGTGCACATTTTCAGTTGACCTCTTTGGCAAGTAAACACGCTCATTTTGTTTGATTACAAACTGCTGGACAACGAATGTTTTCTCATCGGAGAAAACCAAATTCGGCAGTTCACCACTTTCGGCCAAGCGAAGCTACTCTTTAGCTCTTTTGAGTCTATTTTCTTTCTGTTGCGGTGTATTTTCTTGCCCTTTTTGGAATTGCAATGGCTCTACCCCGAGCTCATTTTTCTATATTTGCCGAATGGAATATTGCGATATGTTCAGCTCACGAGCCATTGCGACGCGGGTTTCGATCAAGATTCTTCTTTACTTCTCGAACCATTTCTGCAGACGTTGCTGTTTTCATCCGTCCACATCCTTGACGTCGGGCTAAGCTACCAGTATCACAGCAACGAGCAATGATACGAGAAACAAAAAATTTATTCACATTTAAATGCTGAAGTGCTCTAACGATTTTCCTGCCAAATATAAAGAAATCATACTATCATGCTTGAGTTCCATCACGATTAACTTTTTATCTGGAAAATTCTCACCAAAATGCTTTTATGCGCTTGTAAACAATATAATGAGCTGTCACTGGAATAATCAGCTGTTGGACGAGTGGCTTAGAAATGACAGCAGTCTGAAGTTGGTTGCCGTTTTTTCATCTCACCATGTATGGAAGCTATATACAAATCTAAATCGATCTTTACAACATTTGGCGAAGGTGATTCTGTGCTGTATCTGATTTCTGTGTACCAAATTTCATTGTTTTGGAATGCGAATTGCCAATGTGAAGGGCTTGAAAACCAAATCAGATGAAACATATATATGGGAGCTACGTCTGAACCGATTTCCACCAAATTTAAATTGCTGCTTGCTTTTAGACTAAATTTGGTAGTAAGTGCCAAAATCCGCTCCATTTGGGCTGATATTAGCCATTTGGTGCACAATAAATCTGAAATTGGATTAAGGTATTTTTGGATTTTTTTCTTTCAGATCATACCAAACGATTGCATCAATAAAAACTGTGTACGAGAGCGAGTATGATTAAATTATTCATACTCGATGCAGTCTTCAGGTGTGGTTTCTCATGCCGTCGTCCTCTCCGGAACTTTATTTGGTATTTTGCTTAAAGGATATCCAACTAATTGCAAAATTTTTAGTATGAATCACTTAATAACTAATCCCTTGACTAGTTTACTTACCTTGCCCCAGCTCTGTGCCAATAACAATTGTAAGTTGTTTTCGTTGTTCGTGTAGTGAAAGAGTAATAACGTTTATTCATTCTTAACATCCAATTGAACCCTGTCAAGAACGTGATGTATTAAAGTGTTGGTGGTAGACAGAGTAATCGTGGTGGTTGTAAAACTCTTTGCGTATGTCAGAAAATATAACTACTCACATATACATAGTTATTTTCATAATGCTAAAGCCAATTGAACCCTGTCAACAATGTGATGTATTAAAATGCTCGTGGTAGCCACAAATCCACTGCGAGATTTTGGACAAGTTTTTCGAATGGCAGCTGGAGCATATGTATGCCAGTGCTTTTGTGCATGAAGTTAAAGCCATTTAATTTCCAAGCACTACACAATGCAGGCCATCACAAAAAAAGAATAAAATATACGCGGATCGTTGTTGTAGTTGGTTTATGCTGCTTTATTTTTGACAAAACTTATATTTAAAAATGTTTCAAATTTCTTTACATTTGATGTGTGTGAGAAGCAGGACGAGACCTAAGTATTTGTATCTTTGCCAAGGCAACCAAAAATAAAAACGAAAACTCCAATCGAATTGAGAAAAGAATGAAATGTAAAAACGAACACAAGAGCAGCTGAGTGCACAAGTATGACGACAGAAATCCAGTAAAGTTTCCTCTTCAATGTTTGATGTGTGATGTATGTATGTATACATATGCAGCTTGCATGTTGGTTCGAATGTGTGCCGAAGACAAGTCTTTGCAATTGTGGCTTTACTTTTGGGTTTGAATCGAATGCAATCCAATCCATCTATCCATCCATCCATCCAGTTGAACGTCCATCTTTTGGTACAAGACCATACGACCAAACATCCGTCTGTCTCTCCATGCCAAGTTGTTTCTGTGCCTTTAACCACATAATGCCTTACCAGGCAATTGATCTAATGTACATACACACAAGCATTTGTTCATGTTTAAGTATATACTTTATACACACACACACACGCACACTCATATCATACGTTCAATCAGTAGGACACACTAACACAAATATGCAGGAGTACAGCTGAATGCAATCTGGGTTGTAAGGCAAGGCGAGCTGAAGTTGTGCACCATTTTAGCTGGGTGTGGTTGGTTGTACAATAGTAATTCTCTATTTAATATTTGCTGCAGAAATTGTGTATCTACGATACACCCCAGTGTATATAATAAATGTGCATGCCAATGTGTGCATGTGTGTGTGTGTGTGCTGATGTTTATTTGATGTTGTAATGGACAGAACTTCCTAGGAAGACTGTGCTGCTGCTCTGATATCTGCTTCTGATGGTACGACGGGTGCCCGCACTTCAATTCCGCGCACAGGCTGTCGGTCCAAATGATGTACTACTTTGTACACTTCACTTCTATTCAAGTCGATTTTCTTTTCGGGCTTTTGATACTTTAAAAAGTTGACTCTACCATCATTGTATTTGTACAGTCGAAGGAGGGCCGAATGACGATTTGGCGTTCCAGATGTTTGGTTATTTTTTTTTTTTTGTTGTTGTTGGTTGATTTTCATTGTACATTTGGAAATAAAATAAAAATAATGAAAATGTTTTATTATTAAACCAGAGAGCAAAATAGCAGATTAATAACGAGAGCAATAAATATGTTTAATGGAAGTCATATAAAAACAAATGAAAAAAGATGGTTATGTATCATCGACAGGGCCGATCATTTGAGTAATCAGAGCAATCATGGTGTAAAGGCAAAAGCATTTGATTAGGGAATTACATTTTCAAAAAAAAAAAAAAAAAAAAAAAATCCTCCAAATAGAACCAGTAAGGAAAGGTCAAAAGTCGGGCGGGGCCGACTATATGATACCCAATACGTAAAAAAAGTGAAATAGATCATTTCAAAAATGAACCAAATAACATTGGTGTATTGTGCCTTCGATGATTTCAATGAGAATTATATTAAACAAATAAAAAAGCTGCACGTTCGGCCCGTCCGAACTTTGAATACCCACACAATTTGGAAAGAATTTGGCAATTTTAAAAAAATAGAATCCGTTAAAAATTATATTAAAATCTTAAAAATACCGAATGTAGCTGTTGTATTAGGGTCTATACGACGACGACGTCGATCTTTTGTCATAAGCTATTACAATATTGAAATGTGAAACTTGACTTCGGTGAATAATGTGGCAAAAATCATAAAAATACAGAATATCGGGAGGTACCATTATATGGAGGCTATACCAAAACGTGATCTGCACAGACAATTTTCTGTGATAGGCTGTAGCATCCATTACGAACTTCAAATACTAAATTTGAAATAGTTCCGGTAAATAATGTCGCTAAATTCATCAAAATACCGAATATAGGGAGGTACCATTATATGGATGCTATACGAAGACGTAGACCTACATGACCCATTTTCTACGCCGAAAATCCTGCAGACATAATATACATTTGAGCAAAATGTCATCAACCTACTTCATTTCGTTGGGGAAGCTATAGCGATTTCCACAGACGGAGACAATAACCGTCAAATCGGGTGAAGATGTATATCGAAGCTATATAAAAATCTGAACCGATCTTGGTAGAATTTGGCAGATGTATTTTCACGCTGTATCTGATATCTGGTACCAAAGATCATTGTTGTGGAATGCATATTACGCATATGAGATACTTTAACACCAAATCGGATGAAACATATGTATGAGAGTTGTAGCTATATCTGAGCCGATTTTCACCAAATTTGAATTACTTGTTTCTAGGATGAATTTCCGTCAGAATTGCCAAAATTCAGTACATTTGGGCTGATATTAGCAATATGGTGCACAATAAACCTGATATCGGATAAAGATATATATGGGAGCTATATTCTAATATGATCCGATCTCTATAATGTGTGTCAGAGGTACTTTCGAGCTCAATGAATTATCGGGTACCAAATATCATTCTTATGAAGTGCATATTACACATGAGAGGGACTTAAAACCACAAATCGGATGAAATATATATATGAGAGATATAGCTATATCTTCTAGACTGAATTTGGTCAGATGTGTCAAAATTTACGTCATTTGGACTGATATTGGCCATTTGGTGTACATTTAACCCAAAATCGGTTGAAAATATATATGTGGGCTCTATCTAAATTTGAGCCGATTCTCACCAACTTCAATAGGGTTCATCCTTGGAACAAACAAATATTATTTAAAAAATTAATTTCAATCGGGTAATAACGGACGGATGGACGGACGGGTCCGTCTGTATGTGACATGCATAAATCGACTCAGAAAGTGATCTATGGTGGGTAGGGGTGAAACAAGGCTGGGTTTTTGGAAATTCGGATTAGATTAAAAATCACTAATTTTAGAACCTTTTGGTATTTGTGAACGGATACAGCGAAAATCTTGACTTTTGGTATAAAAGTTAAGTTTGTGAAATAGTGTAAGAGGGGTGTTATGTGTAGTATGTGTAACAATTGTACTAAATGGTACTAAATTCCATACAATTCAAAACATTGGTATTGTGGTCTCTGCTGGTGGGTATTTGGAAATGCTTTCAGTAAGAGTACGAAAGGTGCTAAAGGGTACTAACTTTGCTGTTGCGTGAAGTGATACAGCTTGAAATCTAAAATTTGGCATTAGAATCACTGTTAATTTGGAGGGTTGCAATTTGAAGGTGGTTTTGGAAATACGTACTAAAAAGTACAATATGGTACTAAATTTGGTATAGGGTGAAGGGATAGAGCTGGAATCCCAAAATTTGATATTGAGGTCTGTGTTGGTTTTTTTTTTGAATTGAGATAGATCGAAAATATAATTGATCGAAAATAACTAAGTGGTACTGAAATGGGTGTTGGGTAAACGAATAGAGATGTAATCCTGAAAATTTATAATGATGTCAATGTTAGTGTCACTGATTAAGATATGGAAGTTGTTGTGGGAATGTGTACTGACGTCTCTGTTGTTATCTGAAATTGAGATTCTACAAGGATTTTTATCTATTGCGAGTCTTAAAAACCAAATTTGAAACAATTTCGTAGGTAAATGTGACTAGGATTATCGGTGGGTACCGTTATTTGTGCGCTATAGGAAAACATGGACCTAGATATTCAATTTTCTAACACCGAAGCCGGAAGCCATTATGAACTACAAATACCAATTTTTAGACAAATCCGTGAAAAAAATTGTGGCAATAATAATCAAAATACAGAATATCGGATGGTATCGTTATATGGGGCTATATGACTTATACATACAATATTCCGCCACCAGAGCTAGAACCTTTTATGAGCTACACATACCATTTTTAGACAAATCAAAATACCGAAAATCAGGTGGTGCTGTTATATGGCGGCTATACCAAAACATGAATCGACAATTCTCATTTTCAGTACCAACCATCCTAGTTACAATACAAATTGTGATACCAAATTTTGAAGCTCTACGTTAAATAATGTGGACTGTATCGTGATTCCAACAGATTTAACGGACATCGTTAGATCGACTTAGAATTTTATGATGATCATGAATAAATATACTTCAAGGTTCTACGACGAATATTTAGGGATGTTACAAACGAAACACCATTAAAATATACCCTCCTTTTTAAGGCAGAGGGCATAAAAATAAAGGAAATTGTTTAAAAACGGACTGACTGATACGAATCAATTGATTTTGCCACACGAGTTATTTCATTGGAATATTGCTCTGACGTGTTTTTCTTTTGTATTTAATTAATGCACAATAACTTTGTGATATAATTATATGTTTGTAGGGATATAGGTTAAAATACACCAACGTATGAAAACTGATTTTAATAATTTATTAAAAACGGGTATTATGATAACAATTATTTGTATTTCCAGGGAATTACTTAAGGTTTGTTTGCTTTATAGATTAGATGAAATAAAAATTATACAATTTCATGCAAATAATGCAAAAAAAGAAATGTAAAAATAACAAATCTCAAATATATAATACAAATATACAAAACATGCGAATTTATGTAAATTGTGCATACATACCTCCTCTCCTCTATCTGCTTGACTAAAGACCTTCTTCGATGTTCGCTGAAATGTTTAATAAACGACTAATGAATGGATGAAGGTGTAACTGATTATGATGCATTATCTTAATTAATTTGTTAACATTATGGGGTGGAATTATACACATACATATGTATGCAAAAATGTATATATATCTCGATGGATGCATTGTCTGCAGCGAAATACTACGGTGGTTCATAATTCAAATTTAGTATTGTTTTTAAATTCAGACTTAGAAATGCGAAAAATAATATATTTTCAGCCTGCAAATACGTTTGTAATTATCCCGACCTAAATAACGATTCGGAGCTAGATTACTGACTGGTGAGCAGCTCTCTGTACGCCTATATAAAAGGAAAGTCTTTTGAAACAGCTTTTCATGAGGTGATCAGTTACATTGAAGAAAACATGGCGAAGAAGAACTACACACTGGTGGCTTTTCTTGACACCGAGGGAGCCTTCAGCAATGTGGAGCATAAATTCGCATATAATGCCTTCGCTAGCTACTAAGCTGAATTGCTACAATGCTTAACAAGCTGCTAACTAGTATTCAATTTTAATTCTAATGGTAATAAAAATGTTGGGCACATGTGTTTTTTTACATTAAGGGACAAACTATTATATTGGCCCCATTGCACAGTGGTCGAGGTTGTATGGGAACAGCGGCCAAAAATACTTTTAGTGCAGATATCAATATGAATCTTTGGTTATGGTACCTTGATGGGATAAAAAAAAATATGTGACAAAATGGATATGGTCGGTGCATGTTTTGGCATGGCCCCCTTACAATGTACCTCCTGAAAAAGAGATATTTGCCCAATTCTTGTCACATTTTCATTTTATTTGACATTTACGTTCCAAAGAGTTGAAGAATAATCTTACTGAAAATTATTTGTTAACTTTTTAGCAGTTTCTCGTTCAAAGGGCTTTAATTTTTCGAGATTAATATTGCTTGTAACAATATAGAACACCTGCATATAGGCTGACATTATTGAAATATCCTCTTGCAGTATTCCCGTCTTTTGAAGATCCACTGCCTCCTACTTTTGGCTTATATACAATTAAGCCCATTTCTTCTCGAAATTTCAATTGGATTTTTATACCCTACACAATAAGGTGGTCAGGGTATTATGTCTTTGTGCATTTGTGTGTAACAAGCAAAAGGAAACGAGATAGACCCATAGTTCCTTTTGATGATCTGCATAGAATCACCTTCTGAGTCGACGTCTCTGTCCGTCCGTCCGTCAATCTATGTATTTTTGTAAACAAAGAACAGTTCGCATTTATTGCCCGATCCAGATGAAATTTTGCACAAACCATTTGTTTGGCCCAAGGACAAATCCTATTGAAATTGGAGATAATCGGTCAAAATTTAGATATAGCTCCCATATATATCTTCGTCCGATTTGCC